CTGGGGACGCCTTCAAGAACATCGAGGGAGTAGCGAAGAAGACGAAGAACACCAAGCTCCGTGCCCACCTCTTCGATTCCGCGGTCCTTCCTGCCTTGACGTACGCCTCAGAGACTTGGACTCTACGAAAGCAGGATGAGCATGCGGTCGGCGTTATTCAACGCGCCATCGAAAGGGCGATGCTCGGAGTTTCCCGCTACACGCAAGTGAGAGCAGGCGAATCCGGACAGCTCCGCTTACTCCGCGACGCATCGAAAGATCACAGACGCCGCCGCAATTGCCAAATGGTTCTTGAAATTCAGGTGGCGCCGGACACGTTCATCGATTTTCGAGGACGACCGCGTCGGACTCAGACGATCACGACTGGATTCCACGGGATGTCAAGCGAACGCCTGGACGACCGCCTATGCGATGGTCAGACTTCTTCGTGAAAGCTCTGAACGAATGGTATGAAGTTCATCGTGTCCCTCGAGCAGAGAGAGTTCATTGGGCAACTCTTGCACGTTGCAGGGACGAATGGAGACGTTACTGGCGCCCGCTCGAGGAACTCGATGATCAACGGGAGCACAGGTGATACAGGTGATAAACGGAATCACGCGGGCGCACTTATCATACCCTGAGTTCATTCAATTTTCTGTATGCGCTTTCGCGATTCCATCCTACGGACCTGCTTGCGCTCGTGTAATTTCCGACTTGTGGCACCCTGCTGCTTAGGTTGGTATGCGCGGGATTCATTGAGCGCTCAATCCAGGTACTTTGCAAAGGCCAGAATTTTGTTTTCCATCCAAAGTGGTTAGCGTCTGTGACATTACGGGATGCAACAAGATCTTTTTTATTCGTTGTTCTAATTGTGAGCAACTTCTCTGTTTGATCATTTTGTAATTGGAGTATCATATTTTGCTCGATGAAGTAAAGGAGTCAGTTTGTTTGCATTCGCTTATCGGTGCAATGATTAAAGAATACAATTTCACATCAGGAGTAGATCACACTGGTCACCTAGTGAGTTGAAAAATGTAGTCATATCAACGCTCGAACTGCTTTTCAGACTCGAAAGACATCCTCCAATCCTCCACAAAATGAAACGAACCCCACTCTCGGGGTCTGAACCTTCATCCCGTGCCCGTGAAGCTAGACTCTTACCACTGTGCCATGCCGCCGTTGGATCCGTAATTGCTTCCCGGTTACTCATGCCAACTGGCTGGCAACCGCCTCGACCCCGTGTCTCTTCAGCCAAACAACCCGTCATAACTCCGTTCAGAGAATCGCTTTGCAAATTTGGAAGGCAGATTTGAGATCAGCGTCCGAAAATACGTCTAGTGATCTAGGTCTCATTACAAACGGCCACTTCGACCTGACGACCATCCCTAGTAAGTATTATGTAGTTTGTAAACGCACGACGTTGCGATCTGCTGCTATTCCCACACTGGTAACACAGATAGCATACAGAGCATATGATGAGGCAAAATGAGACAAACGCCATGCAAACAAATTCGACCCATCGATAATCGTATTCGTCATCACTGAAAGTCATTTGCTATTGGTTGACCCTGTTCGGACTGAGCCTGCGTGAATTTGATCAGCGGCGTGTCAACTGAATGAAGGGGCGTGTCAACGGCGTTGCGCTGGGTGCCAGCCAGCAGTTTCTTTCTGTTCGTCAAGCGACGAACTGTATCTATTTGTTCGTATCAGTCGTTTTTCACCAGTTGTTGTCGCCCACCCGCTTCAACAACTGGCGAAGCACGGGCTGGCGGTGCGCCAAACCCAGCCTCACTGACACGCCCATATTCTACATCGAATGAGGCTGTAGAACTGTAGCACTGCAAGAAAATCGTGTGGAAGAAGGTTTGTTGGAAGACAAAGTGGTGGACAAACCGGGATTTCGGAAAGGTTTTGATCGGAAATTGTGAAATAGTACAGAATCAGATACGGGCTAAAGGCAGATTGCTCGCTCACCTCCGAGGACGATTCTTGCAATGCGCGGGCCGAATGGGTCTAAAACTGTAGCGTGCTACTTTCTCCGTTTGAAAGCACTCGGGAACGGAGTTGCAGCGCAGCGGTACTCGAGCGCCCCTACTCCGCCCGCCCTATCCCCAAGATGCAGCACTTGCGCCGATACCAAGGTCCTAGAACGAACCAGCGGTAGAGAACAGTCAGAAGTGAGAGACAAGTGTGGCGTACCATGCCTAGCGCACCCCCCCGCTAGCCTGCCTCTCAGAGCACACACCCACGCACAGTACACCACACCCGCCGCACGACCAGTCACGCTCGCACCGGGGCCCTGTAGTCTCCAGCTCCATCCGATTGCTTTTTGAGCGAGGAAAATGACACTGTTACACTAGCTAATCCGCACTCTTACCCTTCAACGGTAAGCCTCAGTATCCGCGGGTTGTGAGTGCACATTCTGTCCGCTTTTCAGAAGACTAAGTTTCGTGGCACGGTTGCAAACGGTAGTACCATTCTCGTGCCAACCGCGTTTCAGGAGCATGAAGGGATTCGAGAAAACTTCTAGCAGTACATCCTGTTGAATAAGCTGGAAGATTCCTGCTCTCACAGAGTCCCATACTGCATTGATGCGTGCCACTCGATTGCCTGACCATTTAACCCTCCTAGAAAGCTCTTATCATCAGATCGAACTGTCTTGGCCAAACAACCGGCGGAAACGTGTCTTCAGAGAGAAGCGCAGAAATGAGGCTGGAAGAAGGTTTCCGGACTCCGCCCAGGCTATCATCATGATGCAGAAATTTCGTCTATACCAAAATGCGGGACTCGCAGTCAGAGGTAGGGACCTGGGAGATTCCAAAGGCACTTAAGGCCTTTCGCAAAACTTGGGTTGCTTTGACCGTCATACACAGCTGTCGGCGGAGTTTCATGAACCATGATCGGAAGCACCCTCGCTACAGCACCGGGTCGCCGGCTGTCGATGAGTGCGGGACCCTACTGTACTTCCAACTGGCAAGAGGTAGTGTGCAGCTTTTCCTTCACAGCATGAATTTTTCATACTACGATTATGGTTTTATGATAAAGATCGTTTATAGGTGAATAATCTGCATACTTGGTTAAATAAGTGACCTGAGATCAATTCATAGACGAGTATGAAACTTACATTATGCATCTGTGAGCCATCACCGTTCATTGGATACCAAATCTATAAACTGATCGGAACTCAACTGCGCTGTTTTCTTATGATAAGCTCTGTTATTCGAATCATCATTCGTGATAACTGTTATCTTTCGGCCCCATCTCATGAGAAACCGTATCGGCTCCTTATGAAAAGAGTGGCTAAGGAGCAAAACTTTCCCGCATAGAAGAGTTCCTGCTGCTTGCAAAGATCGAATATTTAAGTGTAGTTGGCACGATGAATCCCTAAGACGAGTAGGATCAATACGTCCTGGCAGGACGGAATTCCGCGCTTCTGAGCAGGCGCTGCGTAGCCTTTTCCTAAGGAAAGTACCCTTATAAGGCCCTATCAAGCTACAACATACCGACCCGAACGCCCACCGCGCCCGCCCGCCCACAAATGGACGACCGTACCTGATGCTCGTATTGCTTCATTTGCGAAGTAAAATATGAAGCGAAGGGATTGATATGAAGCGGCCGTGGTGCTGCATGGATATATGAGTACATATGTGCAGCCGTACCTACCGTAGCGGTTATTGGCAAGATGCCTACGGGAAACTCGTCCGAAATTGTTCTTCGAGGAAGGCTTTTCTTCGCAGGTTTTTGACCGTTTCACTTCGTTTTTTCGCCATTTTCCCACTATATAGCGCCCTGCTAGCATTTTAGGCCGAGTACCAAATTATCGTGCCACGCGCCTTTAGTGGGTCACATGCTTCACCTGACGCACTTGGGTAGTATATATAATCACATCGCTATCATGTAAAAGAAATGGTCAACCGACTTGCCGATTCTTCTCTGGCGATATGAACACTTTACTTCCTGAGGTGAGAGGGCGTGTCTACAAACACAGTTGGGAAACATAGCAGCGCTAGACAATGGTCAATTTGGTTACAGGAGCAGGTACCGTGTGCATAAGTAAGCCCGAACGCACAAAAAGCTGTCGATACACCCCATCAGGATCAAGAATGTGCCGCAGATTTCGCGAAGTGGGGGTCGCAGGTGACTGGCTGGGAAGTAAGGGGATCCCATGTGCAGGTGCCAATAATGAGCAGAGCAATGGCAACGTTTGTGGGAATAGAGCAATTATCGCTCCTGTGCTCGCCATGGAAGCGCACCATCTCTGCTGAGACTGTCCTAAGAAAACTCATTGCAAAAAATGTAGTGTAGTGTTAAAAGAACCAAACCATATAATCATGGCAAGGAACCACCCATCCGTCATTACGCTTCTGAGTAATAGTCGAGTAGGAGACCCGTCATATAGAGAAGTTGACCAGCGCCTCTATATTCTGGCACGGTCCGCGACCAGGTATGGAAGTTGAAAATACGGCGTCGGGAGGGTAGTGTGGTTCCGCGACGAACAACCTTGTACCGGTTTCGCGGCAAAAATCGTAATTTAAGGGGCGCTATAACGCAATATAGATCCAGAAACGCCTCCTTTTTCCAGTTGACTCCGCCTCCATACTCCGCCTCTAAGGTCCGCCTTCAATGATCCTACATCTATAAACACAGGTGTGACGCCTTTTCATTGTCCTCCGAATCGCTTATCATTTATCTCTGGTCTCTCACGAATGGGACAGTGTCTCGCTTATTCGAATGCTCGTTCAATCCTGAGATCTTATATAGGGCGTCATCGAAGATTTTGTCCAGTCTTTCCTCCACCAGTAGGACGATTAGTGTCTACGAATTGACATTCAGAACCCAAAGCCCTCAATTTGTAAAACGCTTCTCGAGAAAAACTCTGAAGACCTGCAAAAAGCGTTCACTGACGGTAACATGATACAAGCAAGTCTATTGAAAAATATTCCTATTTTTATTTGGCTGAATCGTTGGCCTAAATAAGACCATAAATTATTGCATAGATTATGAGTTCTCTAAATTCACTATTATTGATCTCTTGTGTCGAGGTCGTCCATTTCGTAGATGTCTCCAATATATCTTTTGTGACACTCTTCGCTGCCGTGGTTGATCATGAAGAGCCTGGAAAGAGAGCATGAGTTCGAGATGAAAACTACAAATTGACTCCGGCATCGGTCGATTCAATGGGTGCCTTAAAGGGGCGTGTTAGACTTGGAAGGAGGTCAGAGCATTGTACGCCCTTTCGTTAGTCCAAGTTAACTAACAAAACTAGCTCACTTTGAAAACTCATGTGAAGCTGCGAACCAGTACAAGGGAGCCATCTTGGTTACAAGATTTCACGGCTCATCACAAGCTTTGCCAGTGCCATTGGTGCCCACCAAACAGTCCAGGAAAGCTCGTGTGTTTTTGAGTTTTCATAGTGTTCAAAAAATTTTTTATGCGTTTCTCCTACTCAATTTCAAGAAAGTTCAATTCTCGTTTTTCTTTTTTTCTTCCACTTTATCAAATTTTCATTTATGTAGATCTATCGGGTAGCTTTATTCATGAAAGGAATGGAGAATGGCAAGCTGAAGCGTTGATGAGAAAATTTGGCGTTCGATTTCCTGACAATATTCCACTGGCGCAAGTTTATTTATGGCCTCGAACCATTGTACTTAAACTATTACAACTGCGTAAAGAATGGAGGTGAGGTGAAAATAACCCGCACATAATTTATCCTGAGTCGAAAACCATTTAACCAGGGCCAACTTGGTGGATTTGCCGAGAGGGAAATCCACCCCGTCGGGCCTGGTTAATGAAAACAGACAGTATACCTTACCCGAAAGTTACACGAGAAATTATATGTGTAAACGCACACAGGATACAGCATCCTTGTGTGAAACACATGGGGGGTCGTACTTTTGCTCTGGGGAGGGGGTCGTATTTGGGGTAAGACAAATGATTTTTTCTTGTTGGAAAAGTGGGGGTCGTATTAATTTTTTGT